GGGGTCGGGGTGTTTTTCTCTAGTAATACCAGAAATCTTCGACACTTGTGTTGCAAGTGGATGAAAACTTTTAATAGGACTCGACTCTCTTGTTTTGTCTGTGGCTGTTGCTCTTAGTGAATAGCGATGCTGTGTGACTCTGTTGTTGTATCTTTTGTTGGGATCTGTCACGTTAACGTGCTCTGCGACGCTGTCGTGTAGATCTCTCTGTGGATACTGATGGTGGTGATAAGTTACCGTGCTCTGTGACTCTGTCGTGTAGATCTCTCTGTGGGTACTGATGGTGGTGGCAAGTTAGCGTGCTCTGCGACGCTGTCGTGTAGATCTCTCTGGGTACTGATGGTGGTGATAAGTTAGCGTGCTCTGCGACGCTGTCGTGTAGATCTCTCTGTGGGTACTGACAATAGTGATAAGTTAGCGTGCTGTGTGACTCTCTGTGTTGTATCTTGATGTGAGTACCTGTAAGTTAATCCTGCCGTGCTGTAGTGTGTGAGTCTCTGTTGCGTCTATGTTGTGTGTAAGAGGCCAATGTAGCCTACCTGTAAGTTCAATCTGCTGTGCGACTGTCTATGTTGTGTGTATGTGGCCACTGTACCTATAAGTTAAGTCTGCCCTGCTGTGCGACTCTCTGTTGCGTCTATGCTGGGTGTATGTGGCCACTATACTGTACCTGTAAGTTAATCTCGCCGCAGTGTCCTTGCACGCTGTGGGACTTGGTGTTGACAGTGATGTGTGGGTGTGTGTCTGTCTGTGTGGGCGTATATGTGTGTGTGTGTGGGTTACTGCAAGTGTAGGCAGTTCTGTGCGATGGTTCACAATTAGCGTATACGTGCGGCTGACTGTAACTTAACGAGTAAATCGCTGTGGGGACAGAGAATTGTTGCTCCGTGTGCCGTGTTGGTTCTCGGTCAGTGCGTGCGTTGATGAGTGTGGAGGGCTTGAATGATCTCTCCTTTATGTTTCATCAATTCTTTTCTGAGAGGCTCATTTTTGGGTTGGTGTA